CAAATCTATGCTTACTGCTGCATTTTGCAATCTTCCCTTTTTGTTCCTTCTCTGGGTTAGGTTCTGCTATCTCTAGCAGTGGTCAGTCACGGCATGGGGAGTGAGGTGGAGGTTGGAAGTAATTCTGGAAGCTCTTTAGAAATGGGCTAGGACACAGGACTTCATGAGCTGTTCCACTGAAGAGTACAAACAACAATCTAACTCTTGAACCGACAGCATTTCTTTTCCTCTTTTATGTCAGGAGAAATCCCTGTAAAACTTTTTTCTGTTCATTTCTAGTCATTCCTACAGGATTTCTCTGTGAAACATGGAGACTGGGACAAAAGGCTGGACTTTGCTTTGTAGGATGAATCATTCTGAACATCCATGCCAGAGGCTGGGGAGAGGAACAGGAGGATAAAGAGGTATCAAAGCTTTTCAGCCATCATATGTCCACTGGCAATGGGAGAGAAATCCAGTCTCAGAGCTGCAGCAAGAACATTACTGTTTCTTACTGGGTTCTTTATCAACTTCGTGCAAACTTTTAAAATCTCTAAATGTCTTCCTAAAAAAAATTAGGGTAGGAGGTTGTCTCAGTCACTGAATCCAGGCTACAAATCTTCAGCAAAACCCAAAAAAGCATTGAAAAATTGAGCACAGGAAGATCCATATCATTTGTGAGGTTGTACAGGTCTTTCCTCCCCCCACTGCCCCTGCTCTGTGCCCTCCTCTCACTGCAGAATTCCTCTGTAAGAACTGGGTTTTACATCCTGGCAGCAGTAAAGCTTCTGTCTGGAAACATGTAAGATTATACTGACTTTTAAGCAGAGGGTTTTTTTTAGCTTTATGGAGTACATGATGGGTCCCATTTATGGACATTCTGCAAATGGAGATCTTTGAAGTGAGCATCTTCCATCCTAAACTGTGAAAGGTACTTACAGAAAAATTTGTCTGCTCTTCAGAGAAATTTTATCCTAAGGATTTAGTGAAGGATGGCACTCAGGGCATTAGATGCAACCAGGCATGACTTGCAAATATTAACCGATTAAAGCAATTCCTTAATTTCGTCAAAAAAATGTTGCGATTAAAAATATGCCTAGGGAACGTTATAAATATACATCTGTGACTTGACTTTTCTTCCCCAGAATCTCTGGCTAAGCCCTAGTGAATAATCTGGCTCTGAGCTGAAACCATCAAATGAAAATGAACAGCCAAATATTTTAAACTATTGCTTTTTATTGTAATTACACCGGAGCACAAATAAATAAGCACTAAATTATTGTAAAATATTGTCAATGCACTAAAGAAAGCAGAATTGATCTTCAAACAACATCTTATTACTTCAGAAGTATCAAAGTACATTTAATTACATCTTACCTAAAAAAATCAAGTACAAAAATGAAAAGAAAATTAATATGTATTTATACTGTGTATATAGAAACGGCTAATAATATATGATTACAGTTAGCCTCTAGCTACTCCTTAATCCTACACAATCTCAGGCACATACCTGACAATTCCTAATGAAATATGAAAAAAGCAACATGACATTCAGTTTCAAGATATTGGTAAATGTATTACATTGGAATGAACACAGAATTATTTCATGTTATTTAAAAACCCTGTCATTGAAAATCATAGTGCCATTATCCACTTAAAAATAAATTACCCAAACAAAAAAAACCTCATACCATTTTATACCATTTGCTTTAATTTGCCAAGAGGAGCAATAAAGTAGACATACATTGGCTAATATACGTAAACACATTTTTAGTGCAAGAATAACAAGACCTGTGACTTTACTGTGCTTTCTTGAAATCACAGTGCACTTTACACAAATTGCTACACTATAATGTTTAACTTCAGGAGTTTAAAGCAAAATAAGTGCATACCAAACAATTTCATATATACAGTCTCCGTAAGTGTGTGTATATATGTGATCTGTATGTACATACCGATTGCATATTTATACAGACTACAGCTTTAATGACCGTGTGTAACTAAGCACTGTCATTCACCCTGTGACAAGAAACTGCTGAGACAAGAGGTGATGCAGAAAATGTTTCACAGCGTTTTGATGGCACACTCTCGGCAGTACGATGCACCTTGTACTTGAACAATGGGGTGGGCCAGCAGGCACAGTACAGGATGGTGGTTTGTGTCCTTCGCTGGCTCTGTCCGTGGCCTGGGGAAACTACTCCACCTGAGCCTCGCTTCCCTCCTCTGTTAAACTATTCTCGCAAGTGTGAGGTTTAGTTCACATTTCTAAAGTGCTTTGAAGGTAAGTGCTAAGTTATATTTTGTTTTTTCATGTACTGTCACACTTTAAAACAAAAAGCCATTGTTTCCATGGGATACAATGGAGGTCTGGAAGCACATGGGCAGTTACTTAGGAAGGACAACATAAATAGTGTTCAGCAATAAAAGCAAAACAAGGAGTGGCTTTGTGGTGGGCTAAGTGAACAAGCAAGTCTGCTTAGGACAACAATGTTTTTGTTCCCTGATCATTATTCCTCTCGTGTATTGATATGAAAAGGACACAACACGAACAAACACTCTTGAACATGTAACTGTTTACATTGACGTTTGCCTTCCCCCAAGGGGCCTGGCATTGCGGCGCCCGTGCCTGCCCGTGGGGCTGGACTGCAAAGTGGGTGCTTCGGCAGGGTTTGAAAGTCATTGCTCCAGGAAGAGAGCAGTGCAGAGAAGGACTATCAAGACTTAGTAAAGTCAGGGGAAAGGGCTGAGCTAACTATTTCACACATGGTTACAAGAAAATCTTCTCTTGCCACATAACAAGGAAGACAAAGCATAAACACCTTCTGAATAATGAGCCTGTTCTCTCAACAGATTTCTCACAACCAACAAGTCGTCTTCTTTCCAGCAGATATTGGAACTTTGTGAGTTCATTGCAGTTTTTCTTCTCCCATTTTCTTTCTTTAAAAAAAAAGAGAATAAGCAGAATATACAGTTGCTGTCTTTGGATGTAACGTATTCAAAGAGTCCTTCACAGCCACTGGGTTTTTTCATGTCCCTCAGTCATTTTGGCTGTGAGGGGCTCTTTAAATCTGTATTTTAATTGCATACCCATTCCAGCCACTGTATATTCATAACACACACCAATATTCAATGTATGTGGGTATATACGTATGCATACATCTATGAGTATATATATAGAGAGATAGATACGTGCATATATACATATATATGTGTGTATACATATGCATATATACATATACAATAATGCTAATATACATACACACATATAAACACACACTTTATCTCTTACAGAAATCTCAGTTTGGACATTAAAATATACATTAGTTAATTAGATATAAAATATTTTAAAACTTTATTTCAGAGGCTGAAAAGAAACTACTACTGATAAAACATTACCCAAACTCAAACTTTAGCAATATAGATTACAAAAACCTTCTAAAATTTGTAATTTTTGGTTTTTTTTTTGATCAGCTATTACAGCTGTGGCAATGCTGTCAATACAATTTCAAAGAAAAGCCAATATAGTAAGAAATTTCAAACAACACACCTTTTCTTCTCGGCAAATATAACATTAAAATGATTGTTTTAAAGAGGAACTTTTGTGCTACCAAACAGACGCATAGATAGAAATTTAAATATACAAAATATATGCCATACATTTTTTTTCCCTATTCCACAGCAGTACAAGTTTCCCTCGTTCTCAACAGATCCTTTTGGAAGATATTTCACCCTCATGGATTTCACCCTCATAATCAGTATAAGCCATCTCTTTCTCCCGTTAAAACCAGGAGGTCATAATTCTTTGGTCATGACATAATATTCTGTTAAAATGGGTGTAATATAATACAGGATTGTAAGCCAATTAGAGAAGCAGCCAGGAAGAAGGAATGGCATGCTCAGAAGAACGTGTTACATGGGCCTCTGCTTCAAAACCGCATGAAATCAAGAGGGATTTCCCTACTGGCTTTCAAGGGGTCTGAATTCCAGCCTTTATAAATAACACAAGGAAATCAGACACAGCTTAAAGTAAGGATGTGTTGCTGGATTGAAAAATAATAAACATGTAAACAGATTTTGCTGCCTTTATTTTCTGGACCAAAGACAAATGTGGACAGGAACCAGGGCTACAGTGCCACCCCCTTCACCTGTTGAGCGGCTGGGTCTCTCCAGCATGGGCTGTACAATGTGCAATGCTTAGTCACAGTGAACCGTGGTCTCCGCTTGTCAGCTGAATGTAATGAAGGAAGAGTTTCTGTTGCAGGCTTTTCTGCAGAAAATTTAGTTTCCTGGCCAAGTAATTTTAGTAACTGGCTCATTTAGAACGAAGGGCAATTTATCTGATTAGCTTTATGAGAAAACTGATTAAGAAAAATTCAGATTTTAATTACAACTTGGGTATCTATATTAAGCACTTTTATTTGCATTGCTTGCAGTTTTAGTGTTTCCAGCCAAAACTCTCTCCTTTGTCCAGCCCACCCCCTCCCTGCAGAGCTAAGGACACCTAATGAGTATGACTCCAGGTAACCTCTACAGCCCTAGCACCACGTTGTTTTGTACATTGTCCTGTTCAACAAAACGTACAACCACATGCTTTAGTACAGAGGCCAAATCTAGGCAGGTAAGAGAAATAAAATGGGGGGAACATTGGAATACCACATATAAAATAGGTAATAAAACAGCATAACAGTAACATTATATAGTAAAATTCTTCATAAATTTTTGAAATTTTATATATATATTTAAACAGTGTATTAGTTTGGGTGTTTTCAATATATTGGCGAAATATTTACATTTTGATATCTTCTGGATCCAAAAAATCCTGGATAAATACGTATGCCTTAATCCAGTTGGAAACTTAAATCTCTCTCTTGATTGACAGGTGAGCACTGTCTCAGTGTGTTTTTTTCCTAAGAAGTTCACCACCTGCAGGTAAGTCTTAGGTTAGAGCCTTTGCCTTATTAAGAAAGCAGGCTACCTGTGCATGGTGCAACACAGTGGAGAGGGCATCCTCCACATGACTGTCAAATGGCAGTGTCCCAAAACACAGTTTGTTGTTTGGAATAAGGAGGAGGGCTGTATTTCTTGGTCCCAGTATTCTTTTTCCAACTTGGCAAAATAGGCATGCTCTCCTGTTTGCAGAGTCCTTTTTCTGATTTCTGTCGGGCTTTTATTTCTTTGCAGAGGCAACGTTTTTTCTCAATCATGTCCAGCATTGTGTGGTCCCCTTGCAACCACTGCATACACGTCACCTGGGGGGTGGGGAGGATGTGTGAAGAGGGGCATGGAGCACAGAGAGAACGAAAAGGAAGAAGAAAAGAAGAAGAAAAAAACATACAAATAACTATTTGGTCATAGATTGAATATGTTATTTCTTTGCAAGGTTAACGTTACTCTGCAGCACGCTGATTTGTCTGATGAACAAAAAGTCTCTATAGCAACAACAGGACCAAAGTCAGTCTACACACTAATTTAAGAAGAAAAAGGGTAATAAAAAGGCCCTCTTTCTAACTCCTCCAGAGCACTAAAAGTTTTCAGCAAACTAGCATTGGTTGGATTTTAAATGATGGACTGAATCTCAAAAGGGCACATGGATCTTAACAATGTCCTTAAGTTCTGGAAATAAAAAAATTTATACACTGAAACCCATGTTTTATATTGCTTTCCAAATCAAATCTGTCATATTAAAAGTGGTGTTAACACTTCTAAGCATCAAACAAAATATAACTCTGTGTTTAATTTTTTAAAACATTATTTAGGGAATTCCATGTCAATTATATAGATTAGCCTATCCTACTCTGTGATATTTCATTTACTGGAAAACACCAAGAGTTTAGAAACTCCACATTTTCATGCATGTAGAATATTTGAAAACAAGATCCTGATCCAAAAAAGGAGGTTAGCATATGTTTAGTTGTAAGTACATGTCAGAGCCTCTCTGAAGCCTGAGAATGTGGCTTCATTTCAGTTCAGTGGGGTACCTGCATGACTGAAAATGGAAAATTGAAAATGCATCCTAAAAGGCTTTCAGTTGGAACCAAAATCACTAGTACTAAACTATCCTGAAAAGGCTCATTGTATTTGGATGACACACTGTACACCTGCAATGCAAATCAGAAGATTTCCTCTTAACACTTTGAAAATTTGAAGTGGTATCTTGAATCTCCCAACATTTATTTTCCATATTAGTCATAAATTAAGGATTTGCACATAAGCAAATGCACACCACACATTGGCAGGGGCTGTCCAAGTACATCTCTGATCTTGCACATGTACAGTAATACTTTGGCAGCGTCTTATGATTCATGAAGGAAATGCATGTTTATTATTAAGAGTACTGGAGTACAGTTAATAATGATCTCATATGCCTTTCATTCATAAATCTTAGAGTGCCAAGTGTGTATATACACCAGGATCCTAGAACTGAGGACTGGTCTTCTTAGGAGTCAGTACAGAAACTCCCAGTAGCCCAGGAGTTTTTGTGGTCAACTTGAAGCTTAGTCAGCATTTATTGATACATAGATAGAGAAATTACTCAGATTCATAGCAGGAAACCAAGCAAAAGCAATAAATGTGAGCAAGCCTACCAGACAAAGTAATAACAAATTACATACTCAACTAGAGAAATAAATGGAATAAAGAAATGTGCATTTTTTTTTCAAATATCTTTGTAAAAAAAAAGTTTCTAAGGCGTGTCACAAGAAAAAAGAATTTTAGATAGAATTATCTTCCTTTATAATGAAACAAAGCCATGCTTACCTTATACATTAGATAGTACTTTGAGCAGAACACATCTAAACCACAACATGAATGTAATTCTTGAATATTCTTATGAACTTAGAATAACACAGGTCACGTGTCTGCAGCGTGTCCTCCTGAATGGCTGAGCTAAAAGTCTTCTGGAAGCCTACTATGCCTGCTCTTCCTAATTGAACACTTTATTTTTAATCTCAGGAATGATCTGACATTAACTGTGATATAGTCAGGTATGAGGCATATCATCCACGCTGGATGTAAGACTTTCTCCCTCTGGGTGCCCAGGCCTGTTCCAAAACTCCCCAAGTGAACTGGAGATATTCATCCTTGCTCCCCAGCTCTGAGGTCTTTGGATGAGGCTCTACTTGAGGTAGATTTACTGCCACTCTGCTCATCACTGACAGGTTAGTACTTACGCAGCAATGTCTTCATTTAGGCTGGGTCCTCCCGCATGGGCAGGACAGGGACACAGTCTGCATACAAGTGATTACACAAAACATTCACCACACAAAGCTGGACACCAGCGTCCATGCTGGATTTGATGACAATGGTGCTTGAGTGTGGATTTCCTCTTCTAGGCATCAGGAAATACCTTCTCCTTTATAACCCATCATGTGTGCTCCAGCCACTGTGCATCACCAACAGCATCCACAGCACATACCACAGTCACCACTGAGGATGTGACATCCATGTCACATCTAGTCTCACCACCGCACTACATGCAGTGCCATTAGTACCAGTGTCTTCTGGTAACTAATCACCTTCACAGGATCCAGGGGGACTGACACAGGATTTTGACATGCTAAGCTCTAAAATACCAGTTGCAACTTCCCAAAGATAGAAATGGTGTTGCAGCATGTATCAGTTACACAGACATTCTGCCACCCCCTATAAACAGCCCCTAAATTAAACCCATGTAGGCAGCTCAAAAGCTCAATCATTTATCATGAAGAATTTGAGTTCTTCCACTTTCCCAGACACAGTTTTTCAAGACTACTTGTGATTTTTAAAATGTGATTTTTGTTTGATGGCCAAGTCTTTCACACCAGCATCATCTTAAACGCACAACCCATGTGGTGCATTCCTCTCCTGTAACTGCATACAGGTAATGGAATGTGCAGCATGAAAGTGTGGAACTACCATGTGCAAAGTCATTTGATAAAATAGACTAAGTGAACACATATGATGTTGAAAGGCTTGGGAATGAGGCTTAAAAGTGAGAATAAATGTTGAAGTATTTTATTTGGTGTTTTTGCCTAGTTCTAGTGTTAATGTGCAACAAAACAAAAACGCACTGGAGTGCATGCCTCTTGAAGTTGCAAGAGAGACCTAAGAGGAAATCCCCTGTTTGTAGATCAATGAACTACAGATATTACAATAACCATGTTGCTAACACAAGATACCAAAGAGTGTTAACTAAATTTTCAGTGCATCCTAGACAAATTATGGGCACTAAGGCTCACAATCCAGCACCCAACCTGGCTGTGTAATCACAGCAGTAACCCTCGATGACTTGCGTAGGGCTACAGAGGTGTTCAAAGCTAATGAGTTTAACGCTAATCTGTTTAAGGCCTAATCCTTCCTGCGGTCACTGAACTGATGGGTCTCATGCTTAGCTCCTGTACTAATTTTCTGTGTATCCTCTCTTCTTTCTGGCTCCAGGCTGCTCCTCTGGTCATGCACCAGGCTATTAATATACCTACTATGCCATAAGAAGGGATTTGTTCAGTGTGTGAGGCACAAAACTTAATTATGTTACAAGTTAATTTCTAGAATCTAGTAGAGCATTCATAATATTGTACAGCTATATGGTTCTCCTGCTCCTCAAGGATCCCATATCTTGTGAGGAAAGATACACATAATGCAGCATGTCAGAGCTTGGCTGCAGGTGTGCATGTAGGGACTCAGGCACAAAGCCCATCGACACTGGAGGTAACACAAGTCATCGACGGTTACTCAAAGCCTTGCTCCTAAGCAGGCAGTAAAAGTTGCGTGATAATCTGGTGTGTAGGAACTGTATGCAAAGTGGTTGAATGAATTCAACTGAATATGACTGAGCACAAGTTTAAAGGAGGATGTCTCACAAGTTCCTGGTAAACAAAAAAACCCTTCAATTATTCACTATTCCCTAGTTTTCCTCAAAAATCTGTTTCAAAGCAAAAGTTTGTTCCAAACTTGAACTTCATCAACAAAGAGTAAGAACCTTCTTCTGCTATGCAAAACTAAATTCTCCTATACAGTTTTAGCCACCGACGTTCTGGAGGGCCTTAGGACAGATCATTCTATGTTGCCACCTTACTTTTATTATCTGCCCTTCCCAAAATGTCCAAAGTCAATTTTATTAAGATCTGTTACATACTTTCAAATTCAATGTTGGCAGTGCCACAGAACAAGAAGTAATATTCAAAAACAGAGGGGCAGAGGGGCTGACTACTCATTTACAGGAAGGATGAGGAAAACCACATCACGAGTATGTGGTCACAGAGGTCATGTACAAAAACCCCTTGTGACAATTGTATATCAAAACTAAAATGAAAGCCCAACAGCCAATACGAGGCTATGACAAAGTGATCTTAAACCAACACAAAATATAATTAAATAAAAAGTAACAGCAGAAGCTGAAGGAGATTATTAGAAATGTCTCCTGGATCTGTAAACAAGTGATCTCTAATGGTGCAATCTGTGAGCAGTGTTACACATCATTCAGCAGAGCCAAGCATGTGGGTTTGGTTTGGCAGTATGTGAAGAAGAAAGGCTCTCTCAAAGCCACTTACCATCCTCTGGGAGGAAAAGGTACTCCTCCCTCCTGCCTGCTCTCAGACAGGAGTTTCCAAGCTGTCCTTTCCACTGAAACTCTTGATGGCACTTTCCCTGCTGCAGTTGGGCCCCAGCCATCTGTCCGGGTATGGTATTTCCACTCGGGAGGGTGTGAAATCCCACTCCTAGCAGGCAGTCAAGTGCCATGGGCACAAGAGGCAGAGGGCTATGTTAAGCAGGAACAGTTACTTCATGATCCGTAATCTGATACTCCTAGCCCGTTTTGGAGGTCCTCTTAGCCCAAGTACACAAAAGAGGAGTTGTCCAAGGCAGGAGTTCAGCCAGAATCAGGTTTCAGAAAACAGGAGCAGTGAGATCCTTACCCATTTGAAGCCAACAGGAGTGTGCTGGGTGACTTAATGAGCCCAAGAAATTGACTACAGTTTTTTCAAATAAATTGTAAAAAACCCCTCAAATGATTTAAAAAGCCTTCAGGAGAGCACTTGGAAAGCTACACTGGACAAGATTTCTTTTGCTAACCATTAGCTATAACTATTTCACTGCAGTTGTTACTTCCAATGGCTGCAAAAGTTGGTGAGGGGAAAACTACAGGCTAAAACTGCAGACATTTCTTTCTCTCTGACAGAGGTACTCTGGAATAATATTAACATGAAAGACAGCATAATGTAACCCAGGATAGCTAGCCATTTACATAGCGTTGTACTGCTAACCCATTCTC